TTTTCATGAAAAGAAAACCAAATTCTTTCTAATCGTTATTTCTAGTCACTTAAATTCATTACTGGTAGTCAGTTTTATCACGTTTATCAATTTGAAGTGTCTCAGTAGTCAAATAACGGTAGTTTTTACTTTTTTTTAATTTTTACCTAGTAAAATAATATGCTATCTGTTATTGCGTTTTGAATTTCGCGCAAAACTTCATTTGGCTCTCTCTAGAATCTGATTGGTTCGTCAATAAACTATACTTTTACGGTAATTACCACAATCTAAGTTGTAATGAAGTGTAATGCATCGAGCTATCAATGCATTAAAAGTAATGAATTATTTTCTTCAGTTATGTTAAACTTAGATTGTATGGTAAATAAATAATATATCAATAAGAGTACATCCAATCGTATGTTATTTGAGTTGTCTCCTATTAGTGATACAAAAGTTAGTCTCCTCAAATATTATCAATTGTTAATCAATACTATATACGAATCAACATTTTGATGATGTGCAGATAATTTGATTTTCTAATAATTAAGCATTGAGTATGCTAATTAATTACTGTCAGACAATTCAGTTATTAGTAATGTGCACAGTTCATTTATTCAGGTTAATTATATTGTACAATATTAGAACTGAATATGAGTTAGTGTGAGAAATGGTAAGATCATTACACATCAACACAAACTATCCTTGATTGTCAGTATGAGGTTGTCGAGAATGTTAAATTTCATTCAAATCACGAACTGGTATAAGCCAGACAGCGATTGACAATTTGGAAGCACAGAAAAGCCTTTTCGTCCTAATATGGAACTGCTAAACACATACGCATTCACGACACTGCATACGGCAACCAAGCCCAAGTCCTTCAGTCGCGTGTGAATGCTTAACTTTGATAAGTCTTTTAATTGAACGCTAGATTCGATTCCTAAGCTCTTGCTTAGGAATAGTGACTTGAACACAAGAGAAGGTGCGGAATATGGAAGAAACACTTTACTCCAAAGCTTCGTTTATGCACAGAAATTCCGGTATTTTTTTATAGTATTTTAGATGGCCTTGGGTTTCCGGGAAATTCTGGAACGCTACTAAACATAGTAGCAGTATAGGTAATTATCCAATCAGAAACTCGAGGTGTATGTAACCTTTAACTTTCTAGATGTTTCTGGCAAAACTTCTGTTGAATGCTGATTGGATAAAATGCTTCTCAGTATTTTCAGAGCCTTCGTTGGCTTTTTTCAGGGAGTTTTCTGGATCTCCTCAACAAACTTCTAGACCACTGAGCCGGGATCCAACGGTGTCCTTAATAATATGTTGTGCTTATCATTTGATTTATGGTAGTTTCCGTCAGTAAGAATCTACGATAACAGGATAGTATAGTTTCTATGACCAAGGAAAAGTATGTCGTTTTTCGTTAATCATTAGGGGTTTTAATGTAACTTTTATTGCTCATATTTACTCGGTCAGCCATGTGCTCCAGTTCAAGTTGCCACATCATTTTAGCATAGCAAAAACGCCAGGTTAGAAGTTGTAACAACATCAGTGGTAGTAGATAGGATTCGATAAAGAAGAGTGAATTGCTGGAATAAAAACGTTCAAGATAATTTTAAGACTTAGGATCTAAGGGAAAACAAAAATGAGATTGCGCCTGAGTCATTTTGGTCGATTCTGGTTTATGTAACTCATCGTTTCCAACAGCCGAATCTGAACTAGGTAGTCTACGTCTACCAGCACGGGTAATGTATAAATGTCAATAACTTTATGGACCGATGTCGCATTTTGATTGGTTGCTGCCAGCTCTTACCCAACCTAACCCTACACCATCTAATACCGCGCATCCATTTAACTGGTGATTCAGTCCTAATAATACATATTTGAACCGATGTCAATATTTCGTAAGTTCTACGTTGAGCAAACTTAACAGACTGAGGCATCACAAAATAGGATAAAGCACCAGTTCAATGCTCCTTAATCTGCATTGATGCCACATCTAACGTCAGTTTATAATGAAATTTACCTGAGAATGGTGTACAATCTTCAGTAAACAACAGTGTAAAGTTTACTGATCAATTTTTTAAACGTCAAAAATAGAAAAAAACCATTTCATATTTATAAAATAAAATGTATCGTGTATGGATCTAGGTACTCGGAGGTAACGAAATAAGTTATCAGTGGAAACATATTATGGTATGTCAATATTTTTGTGTTTACCATAATGTTATATTTAACATTATTTTAAATATAAAAAATGTTTCACATGTCATATTGTATTATTCAGTAAGCTAATCAATCATGGATGATCGTTTCATTAATCGTTTCACTACTATTAAATCCAAAAAATAATAAAATTATTATTATTACTATTGTGGTGCATGCTACTAATGTCGACAGACATAAGTAATATGTACCACCAATCAAAAGTGGAATACCTGGAGGCAGAAGGTTGGAAAAATCGAAAAGAAGAGAACGAGAACAGAGAGTGACCGGTATGGAAACGAAGGAACAACAAAGTCTGAGACAACTGATGGATATTTTACTAATGAAGTATTTACTATACGGTTATCAGATTTTACCAAGTTATTCTGTAAACATTTTGTCCCATTTTTGTGTTATTTCACTACACTATCATTGTTATTATTTCATAATTACATGTACCAATTATGATTATTACTATTACTACGGACATTGGATAGGGGAGAAGTGTTGTTTATTGATTGTTATTCATATGTACTATCTAATCTATCATGATGGTGATAAAAATGTATACAATTCAATAAAATAAGAAATCGCTAGAAAATTGTGTATTTCTAATGATATTTATGGAATTTGACAGCCAAAAGTACTTGATTTACTGTCATAATACTTAGGTGTCGAAATTGAAGTATTTGTTGAACAGTTCAAATCTCTTATCAAATGTTATATATGATAGATTGTATTGTAGTTATTAATAGAATCTTGGACCCGGATTTCATCCTGTTTGAAACTCATCAGATGAATTTATTTCCATCTAACCGTTGATTTTTACATTATGATTCAGACTCAGTTCCTTCCGCTTTCGATTCCTAATAGCTACTAACTTGTTTAAAGGTATTCGTAGATTAACTAACTTAACAGTAGATACAAGAATTCAAGAATACGGTACATTTTATAGATTTGCACCTACCAATCAAGTAAACATCTAAACTACAGATTACTATTTCATATCTTTATAAAACAATCTTATATGAGTAGTTTAGCGAATACTTCATGTCATTTGAATGCAGTATTCATCACGAACTGGAGTCGTTTAAAGAAACACTGAGAGCTTGAAGCACTGGACAACCACATGACTTCACATCAATTTCCGGTTGAATATTTGATAGGATTGAAATATTTTTAAGTAGCTCAGCATAACATTCATGTTGTTCATGTGAACTACTGAGAAAAACGATTAAATGATCAAATGCTAATCTATAAAATTATCCGTTCACATGTTTGTTTTTGTTCAAGAGTTTACATAAAGAAACTGATCCTTACTGATTTAATTCAGATTGCGACTTAACTAGCAGATTTCAATCTATCGAGATCATGAACTGATCAATCTTAGACCACCATCGAAAACTTGGAAGCACTGGACGGCCCATAAGTAGGACTAGAACTCAAGACACTTGATCTCGAGCGAACGCTTAACCTCTAGACTACTGAGTCAGCATCCAACATTGTTTCAATGAATTGGTCACTACTTAGTGATAACAATGTCACAGGCATTAACATTCATACAGCACCACTTCTGTCCAACTAAAGCACAATGAATTCATTTACGTTAATCCATCATACCTCTGTAATGGTGCTTTTTTTTGGAAATAGAATAAATCTTCGAAATTTGTTGCAAAACCTATAAGACATAACATTTCTACCTGTTTAATTTTATAGCATAAGATAATTTAACAATTTTACCTATTTCCGCCTGATCTAAGTTGAATTAAACCATTTGGTTGTATTGAATTTAAATATGCATTGTAGTTTATGAACGTTGTAGAGTGTTTTTGGTAAATTTAAGTATGATTTAATGCCTTTTAGAAAATAAGCTAGCCAAACTCAAGTGATTGGAAGCCTTTGCTAAAACTGCAATTTCGAAGCGAAATATAATGTAATTCATGTTTTGAGTTGGCTATCAATTGACTGGAATTTAAGAAATGTCTAAACATTAGTCAACTTATTGAAGTACAACTCAAACAGATCAAACTTGTTCGTATCATAAAGTCTTGATTGGAAATGATGTAACTGTGAGCTAATTTCCAGATAAATAAAGTTCATAGTTATGAATGATAATAATGTCAGTCAGTTATACGGAACGTGGGACCTGGAACATCTATGCATTAGTTTCACCTGTCACATCAAATCAGTAGTGAGGTGTCAGAGTAGTAGAAATTGTAACAATATCAGTAATACTGATAGTATTAGTAGGAAAGGTTAGGCACTGACAATACGATTTGAGAAGACATTCCTGAAACAAAAAAGTATGAGACAGATCCTAAGAACCATAATTAACGGAAAACATCGAATGCATGCATCTCAGCGATTATAACTCAACATTCCCAACCACTCATCACGTTAATCAGGCGGACCCTAGCCAGATAGCTTGTTATAAAGAAGACCATAAGCAACCAACCAACCATATAGTTCAATTAATTATATCATGAAACATGTGACCGTAGGGCTTCATCTATTCTAAGCTAGCATCATACTTATATAATCAGTTTGCTCAGCCAGATAGCATCACTAGTGTAGTTCGAAACCAAGCACACAAACCTATACCTGGTAAATGAGTTAGGAAATAGATGAAAAAATAATCTAAAAAGAGAAACATTGGTCGTACTAAAAAAACTGTTTCATTTGTGAATAGGTCGTTATGGAGCAAATACGTTGTAAATCAGTTATCATCTATTTACTTTCCTTGTAAACTTTATTGCACAAAATTTAATGTAATAACCAAATCAATAAAAAAATGGTTATTTTATTGTCAACTCACTTACTCTCTTCAATAATAAAAACATGGCTGGTTCGATGGAGATTTTGATTCAGTCCAACATACTTCTTTAATACAATCTACTTTTTTAACATAATACTCTTTAATCCATTCATAGTGTACTGACAACATTAAATCAAAAGTGTAGAAGATGAGAATGTATATCCTTCTGAGAAGAATATTCAGTGTTTGGTCCAGAAAACAAAAATGATAGATACAAATAGACAGAATGGGAAAGTAACACTGATAGCTTCATCTATTCTATTCGACTAAGAATTATCGATACAGACCCATTATATTGATTGTTATTATTATCATTATTAATAATCATCAATATGATTTTCTTCATTAATTTCCCAAACTTAGAGTTACGTCGTGCATCGATTTGCGGCGTAGAATTTTGTCGATTTTCAGTTCCACACTTGCTCACCAGCAAACGAGCTCATAAGCTTATGACAATGATATTATTATTCATTTTCCTATTACCTCGTTTGCCAAGGTTATTTACACGTAAGGTATGTATGCCTTCAATTTGTTGATATGTGTGTATGTAGGCAAATCAGACAAAATTTTCTAAGGGAAACTATCGTAATCAAGTTCAGAAATAGAACTGTTTTGATTGGTTGATTAATTGTCATTTAATAGTTTGATTATCATTCTCTCCCCTAACGATCTAACCCCACTACCACCTACGCTTACAAATACAATCTTTTTCATAAATCGATTATCTATTGGATTAGATTTTATACAATCAATTTGAGGGTCATTGGTTAGTTTTGTCAGATCAGTTAGAAACACTAACACAAATACATCCCTGATAGGAATCTATCAATCTTATTTCATAAAGTTTTATAAATATGCATGTATTATTGCATGACATTACTTGTCAAAGGAACGTAGCAACAAAATTATTAAATCTCTGTATGTATACATATATGTAATATCATGGTATGATTTGACCATCATAAGAATCGGTTACAGATTTCCAGCTGAAAGTTTAAATTCGAAATTAATCAGATTTAAGAGTGTGACAACAACACATCGATCGCGAGATTTTGTTCCTCTACCCTCATACGGTTTTATCATCATTGATAATGCCTTTGATTGAAAATATAGAAATGACAAAATATTGGACGTTGTTATGAATTTCATTAATCTTTATAGTTAAATAGCATTTTGCCATTATGGCCAATGTCAGTGATGAAAACCGTTACCTTAATTCCTAACCTAAATCTTGATTCCTCATGCTCATTTATAACCCTCTTTGGACCCTAGTAAGTAGGGTCACTTTGGCGTTCATAAATTATAGTGTTACCGAACTTCGTTGATAACTCGGGAGGTTTCCTAGTATGAAGAGATAAAACGGAAGATTTTCATAACATTTTCATTTATAGTGCTCGATTATTCAGTCTTAGGATTCTAAGTGAAATATATATCTGTTTTACTTTGTATTTGTGTTACGGGTGTATCTTACGCCTTATTACTCTCTTGGTTTTGATAATGTCGAATATATTTAACACTGAACTAAAAAGGTGGATCAATCTGAAATGGCTAAGCTGTTTCAAAATTACGGTGTATGTATCCAAACAGTCTGTTGCCTATAGATTGTATTCTGAATAATCTCACTGGTGAAAACATCCTAAGCCATTTAAAGGGATGTGGATTGCTACGACTATGATTTAGGGTTAGAGTTAGGATTAAGATACATAGAGAATAACGGTAAAACATTATCAAATTGTGAAACCCTAAAGCTAAATCCTAATTCTAAAACTTAAACTCTAAATCTTAAAGCTTCAATGTTAGTCTTACTATTATTTTCCTATCTTTGCTATTTTCTGTTTTCATGAGTTAATTGAAACTAGACTACCATGGAAAACCTGAAGGCATTGGATGGCCGTTTCGTCTTCAACAGTGTTTAGTTGAACAGTGTTAAGAATTGTCAAGATGATTCAGAGATTCACTTATTCTTACTTCTACAGTTTAGTTTTATCGTTTTTATGGAAACTATCTTTCCTTTTGTTTCTTTAGTAATTTCTACAATATAATCCAGTATCATGTTTAGAATGCTTTGTAAGATCATTTTCACCGTAAGGGTTTACACTTTTACCTCCATATTCTCGTAATTTGTTTTACATAGTTACAATGTTTCTTATTTCGTGTTGTGAAGGAAATGAATAATGGATATAATGAATACAAATGATAAAAACAATTTAAAATCTTACTCTATCAACTTCTAGATTTGATTATCAGATTGTCTGAATCTGACGCTTTTGTTATTACTCATTGCCATTGATTGCTTTTATCATTAAATGTAAATGTATTCTAATGAGCTCACTGAGTCTTTACCTCACTTTTTCTACTGTAATTTTCCTTTCCAAATTTCCTTAATCACACTGTTTTGCACGCTTCCCACAGCATCCGAAGTAATTATATTCCTTTCATTTCTTGAATTTTTCCCCTTGTTTTGTATAAATTTTTATCCAGGACCTGTGTAACTATATTTCCATATTTCTCAATCTTCTTTGACCAAGTCTTTATTATTTGACTCTTTTTAAAATCCACCTTTATGATTTCATTTTGTTGTTGTATGATTTTGAAACACTGAAAACAAGTCCGTGTTTGACTGAACTCAAGTTTGCAGTGTGCCGTGATTGATTATTGCTAGTCTTAGACTCTCTGTTGTCATCATTTATTATTCTATTTGATACTTTCAGGTAGAAATTTGATCCACTTTTATTGGGAATATTCTTGTTTATTCTCAAGTACTTAAAAGTTATAGTTTTTAACCATTTTGTTGTTGTTGTATAGTCAGTTATTCTGAGTAACCAGAGTAACTTTTGACTGCATAGAGGGCATGGTATTATTGAGGTATTTTTTAAATATTTTAACATAATTTGTTTTCATTACATGGTATCTCATAAAATGTGCACGGGGTTTATGTTTTGATATAATCATTGGTTGCGAATGGCTCAAAGAAGCTTCGTACACCATATAGAAGAACATAATTTGGCATGATCTAGTAAACCTTGGTTTGTTAAGTCGTTATGTAGAAGCAAGAGAAGACGTACTTCAAGATCTATGGCAAGACTTTTGAGGTGAACTTTCATATATTTGGCTCCAAAACTAAGAATCTTTGTGAATGTAGTCAAATTGGTTGTTCATACTGTTATGATAGTAAATCTGATTATAGTTCAACCGCTCCGGTGAAAATAAAGTATTTTTTTATTTAATGACGTGTCAGAATAAATATAGTTTGAAGAAAAACATAGGGACATAAGCATAAAAGTTGAATTGTTCAAAATAAATGAACTACATTGTAAGATAACGGCTGAGATTCCAAATAGAGTTGATAATGTGAGAATAGCTTATGATTTTGAAAAAGACCCCTACCGGATAGTGAAATATATGTGAAGTAACACCACTACTTCTGCTAGTGGATCTTATAAATTATTTGGTGAGTTAGATTATTTGGACTGTGATCAACTTAATTAGTTGTTTGGTGACGATGAATAAGTGACTGAAAACGGCGTAGCTAAATAACCGACAATTTTTAGGATTTCTCTACCGTTTGAAGAATTTATTTCAAATATCGGAAAGGAACGTAATAATATTTTTGTTGAACCTGTGTCTGGGTTAGTCCAGTTCAGATTCACATTTGTGTAGTAAGGACAGAAGGCCTACGGTTTATGTTACTCCTTTTCTAGTAGGCTTCGGTGATTGTCTAATCTTCTCTTGAAAGAGTCAATTGAATGTGAGAACACCACTGCTCCGGGTAACAAGTTCCGAGAATTGATGACTTAGCTCAAAACCTGTATGCCACAGGTATTTTGTTCGTTCTTGGCTTCTCTACTCTCCTATAATTTTCTCTGAGATGTCCCGATCTAGTGGGAAGAAAAAGAGAGGATGTCTTATGTCCCAAATCATATCTTAGTATTCTATACATCAAATCAGATCACCTTTTGATTTGCGATAGGACAGAGTGAAGAGGTCTAGCTTTTCAAACGGCTCTTTGTAAGGTAGACCCCGGAGTTCTGGAATTGCACGGGTAGCTGCCCTCTGTACATTTTCCAGGATACTCGAGTCAGCTTTTCAATGCGGCTTTCAGCCTGAACGCAGTTTTCAAGCTTAGTTCTCACTAAGGTTGTGTATACTGTTGTGAACACGATGGTAATTAACTTGGTGAATGTCCGTCTTGAAGCCCATCTGGTTCTAAACCTCTTAGCTGCGACTTACCGGCAGTGAGCAGTGGTTTTAAGATTGTGACTCACTGTTACTCCAAGATCCTTGCGAGACCGGACCACGTGTACCTATTTACCATTGTATCCCCAAAGTGCATATAGACACAATTTGCCGCGTTGATAGGCATTGACCAGTCTTTAGACTAGCTAATCACAATATTTAAATCTGTTTGAAGTGCGCATGCACTTGTATCTCTCTTTATTTCTCGCCAAACATTTACATCATCTGAGTCCCTAATGTATAACATCGGGGACTCAACTATATTTAGGAGATTATTTACTCATAGTATGAAAAGTAAAGGACCTAGGACAGAACTTTGTGGCATTCTACTAAGTACTGGTCTCCAGATGGAGCACTTGGAATTTACTCTTACTTCCTGTCTACGACCTACTAGGAAATCCTTAAGTTATTTTAGGAGAGGTCTGGAACTGCAAAGATTTTCCAGTGTAGCGGTAAATAAATCGCCAAAATAAATAGCTCTGTAAGTTTTCGACATTGGATGTTGACCACATTAGTTTTAGTGGAATCATCTAGCTGAAGGCTCTCGGTCATGCATCTGCACCAGATAACGTGTGGGAATGCCGTGCTCAACATCTGCTGTAATCGCTAGCCAGATTAGATCAGAGGATCCTCGATATATTGATAGCCTATCAAATATATCTTCGAAACTCCTCACTTCTGTCTTTTGATTTCACTTGGTGGGTACGATTCATATTAGAATGTGTTATTGGTTAAAGCGTTGTCAAACTCCGAATACCTGTAGCATCTTCACCAGCTTCAGTAGCAGCCTATTTTTTGGCACCTTGTCAAATGCTTTACTGAAGTCTATGAAAACGAAATCCACTGATTTTCCATTATCTAGAGCCTTGATTAATTTTTCCCTTGCTATAAGGAAGTTCGTTGTGCAAGGTAAACCTTTTCTGAAACTGCGTTCGCTGTTTAATAAGTTGTTGGTTTCGACGAATGCCATTATGATCTTTTTGATTATTCTTTCCAGCATTTTAGCTACGACACTGGTCGGGTTGACAGGTCTGTAGTTCGATGGGAGTTGTCTTGGTCCTACTTTATATATTGGAGTGGCGATTGCATCCTTCGAGTCCGTAGGTAACACACCTTGGTCAAGTGACCTATTAAATATCACAGTTAGAGAGGCTGCAATATATCGTGTAATTCGTCTCAGGATTTCGGGGTATAGTTCATCCGGTCCTGTTGACTGTTCCATGTCCAAGGCGCTAAGAGCTTTAAGTGCATTGTCTTGATCATAGTGCAATTGAGCAGACGGTTGACTGATAAAAAGCAGAAGAGGATGTA